AGATCTCAAATCATGAAAATGAGTGGGAGCTATCACTTGGATAATAAATCCTAAAATCACGTATAATCCATAACACTCTCGAATCTTATCATCTTATTATGAAAGTTTTTGATAATGAAGATGCCAAGATTTGAAAAGTAATCATAACTTAACCTATGCAATAAGTGAACCACAACAATCACAATTGCATAAAAGAAAACAAGAATATTAGATATGGTGTGATTTCTATAATTTTTTTGTAAAGAGTGTTACCCTTAAAACATTTGGGGAAAACCAATTTTCATAAGATGAAACGTTGAAAAGTTTCATAGAGGAATAAAATTTTACTAATTATTCCACAAACTATTTAATTGTGGTTTAGAATTAAATAATTAGTCCATTCGATTTGACAACATTCAAAATAGGGTATCAAGACAAGCCTTGGATAAAGAAACACCGATTAAGTGAACATTGAAAGTCATATCAAAATATATCCCTATAGAGGTCATTTGAAAGTTGGACGACTAATGACCACGTGAGGTTAGTGAGTAGTATGATTTATAGCATTGTTTCTTGTTCTACAAGGACAAGAATGTCATAAATCATTTGCATAGGTATTGGTTTGGAACTATATTGATCGACCTATGAGAATACTTTAAGAGGTTTAACAATCGTCGTAAGTATATTACTCATTATGGCTATCAGAACCTCTTTCCTAAACCATAAGTATTGTAAATTCTCTTGTTTAATTACTAGTCCGTTTTGATATTGTCAAATGTCTTCCATACAAGGGGATAATAAAGGCAACACTCGGACGGATATGGCCTCTTAGTAAGGGAAGTTAACAATACAAGACTGGAAATGTCCCCCTATTAATAGTAGGAAACATGTCTTTGTTGTTTACAAGGTCTCTCGAAGAGCGAGACTGTGAAAATGCATGACCGTGCTCAGATGGATTTTGGAAATCATCTGCTTATTGACAGTCGAACTCGAACATTGAGAAACACTTCTGGACATAATAAGGATTATGATGAATCTTACCTTATAGTTCATGAAGAGGCATTAAGTGACAAAGGAAACATGCTATACACAAACAACACACTTGTCCGGAAGGAAAAGTGGGAGATTGAAAGGGATGGTGTCCTTCGAACAAGTGTATTATTCTGATAGAGGGTTCGGAATTAATTAGGAAAGCTAATTATTCAGTGAGGTCAAGTGATCAGAATGCATAGCTGGAGGCCGCTTCCGATCAGTAATATTAATGAATAATTAATATTGCAGCTTCATCTTGACTGAACCCTTCGAGTCACACCCAATCGTGTAACTGAACCGAAGCGACGAATTTATCTAAAGAATTAAATGAGTCGATAGAGATTTTACGAACTAAGGCTTCGTATTCCGAGCTTAGAGCGTTGAAAACGACCATCAAAAGTCATGTCAAATTCATGAGTCGACGTGACGGAAAAATCAGTTAAACAACAATTCAACGAGCGTGAAAATCCTAGCCAATCGAGGGCTAGGTAGGCTAGTATGGTTTGCCGAGCACCTTGCCGCATGAAAATGCTTAGCCGTAAGCGCAGCATGCATTGCATGCACTGGCTAGGCAAGCTGGCCGAGCAGCCTTGCTAGCAAGGCATGGAAGCATGCCCGAGTATGCATGCGGGGAGGTCCACCAGCAAGGCCAGCAGCCAGCAAGGCGTGCTGGGCCTCGCTGGCAGCAACAGTAACAGCAGCAGCAGCACATAGTGCAGCGGCCCGCATTGCATGCGAGGCTTGCTGGCTGGGCTGTGTGTGTGTGCGGGCTGGCTGGCAGGCCCAACCGAGCACTAGGCCGCTAGCAAGGCGTGCCTTGGTGCCCAAGGTTGGGGGCCAGCTGGCCCCACATGCTTGGTGACGCCTACTTACTTGGGGAGCAAGGGAAGGTGGTTATTCCCTTTGTGGTCCTCACCTACTCCCTTGCTCTCCTTGCGCCAATTGTCGTTTCATGATTATTTTGGGTTATTAATTTAATTTGGAATTAAATTAAATTTTATTTTTTCTTCTTACCTACTATCCCACATTGAAAGATGATGGGAATTCTTGGGGAGATTTCCTTATAACCCATCATTGGATATTCGGAATTTTACTTGAGTTGATGAACTCTAAGGGACCTCCAAAATCAAGAAAACACTTGTTCGTAAACTCTAAGTTATTTTTTGTTTAGCCCCAACTATGCTTCGGGTTAGGGACCGGTTACGGTTCGGTAGCGAGGGTGTGAGCCGTTGGAGATTCTCGTACTTGTGGAGCTTGAAGCTTTCAAGTCCGTGCTCACTGGTTTTGCGAAGCACGCTACTAGGGTGAGCATTCTTTCTCTCTCTTCTCTTATGTTTATGTTTATTTACGTGCTTTTATTTATGTTGTAATTATTATTCATGCGATCCGGTTAACGGGTTTTGTTTCTGTGCGGTGTCGGACACCGTAAAACCCAACAAAAGGGGAAGTGAAAAGGGGATAGTGAAACGAATGCAAGATTTAATAAGCGGTTTAGTCAATCAACAAAATCGCCATGTCACTTCAGTAAAAAAAAACTAACCCTCGGATGACTGACACGTGTCCCACACATGCAAACACTGTTCCTGCAAAAATAAAAAAAAATTTCAAACACAAAAAAATTCATTTCTCAAACTTCAGCGTGAGTAATCGAAATTCCTCCTTGCAAGCTCCTCATTTCTTTGACTTCAGCTGGAGTAATCGAAATTCCTCCCTGCAAGCTCGTCATTTCTGAGACTTTAGCGGGAGTAATCGAAATTCCTCCCTGTAAGCTCGTCTATCCGATTACTCCCGCTGAAGTTTGTGAAATGGCGAGCTTGCGTGAGGAATTTCTATTACTCTTGTTGAAGTCTGAGAAATGAGGAGCTTGCAGAGAGGAATTCCGATTGCTCCCGCTGAAGTGTTAGAAATGATGAGCATGTAGGGAGGAATTTCGATTACTCCCGCTGAAGTTTGAGATATGACAAGCTTGCAGACAGGAATTTCGATTATTCTTGCTAAGGTTTAAGAAAGGTTTTTTTTTTTTGCGGGAATAGTGTCTTGCATGTGTGGGAGATGTGTCAGTCATCCAAGGAATAATTTATTTTTATTGAAGTTACATGGTAATTAAACTCTATTGATTAGATAAAACCGCCCATTAACTATCACATTTAATTTCACTGTCCCCTTTTTACAATTAGCTTTGTTTGTATGTGTTTTACTTTCAGTTGATTTAATGAGCTTGTTTGAATGCATTTAACTTTCATTTAATTCATAAAGCAGTGTTTGAATATCTATGACATTCATTTGATTTAATAAGCTTTGCTTGAATGTGTTTTACTTTAAGTTGATTCATTTAGCATTGTTGAATGTTTCACTATCATTTGATTTAAAAAGGTTTGTTTGAATGTGTTTGACTTACATTTAATTCAATTAGCTTTGTTTGAATGTATATGACTTTCATTTAATTCTATTAGCTTTCTTGAATGCATTAAACTTTCTTTTGATTAAAAAAGTGCAATTTGAATGTGTTTGACTTTCATTTGATTCAATTAGCTTTGTTTGAATGTGTTTGACTTTCATTTGATACAATTAGCTTTGTTGAATGCATTTGACTTTCATTTGATTTAAAAACTTCTTTTTGAATGTGTTTGACTTTCATTTGATTTAATTAGCTTTGTTTGAATGTATTTGACTTTCATTTTATTCAATTAGCTTTGTTGAATGCCTTTGAATTTCGCTTGATTCAAAAAGCTTTATTTGGATGTGTTAGACTTTCATTTGATTCAGTTAGCTTTGTTTGAATGTGTTTGACTTTCATTTGATTCAAATAGCATTGTGGAATGCATGTGACTTTCATATGATTCAAATAGCTTTGTTTCAATGTGTTTGACTTTCATTTGATTTAATTAGCTTTGTTTGAATGTGTTTTACTTTTAGTTGATTCAATTAGCACTGTTGAATGCATTTGACCGTTATTTGATTCAAAAAGGTTTGTTTGAATGTGTTTGACTTTTATTTGATTCAATTAGCTTTGTAGAATGCATTTGACTTTCATTTGATTCAATGAGCTTTGTTGAATGCATTTAACTTTCATTTGATTGAAACGGCTTTGTTTGAATATATTTGACTTTCATTAAATTTAATTAACTTTGTTAAATGCATTAGACTTTCATTTGATTTAAAACGCTCTGTTTGAATGTGTTTGACTTTCATTTGATGCAATTAGCTTTTTTGAATGTGCTTACCTTTCATTTGAGTCAATTAGCTTTGTTGAATGCATTTGACTTTCATTTGAATCAAAAAGGTTTTTTGAATGTGTTTGACTTTCATTTGAAATAATTAGTTTTGTTAGAATGTGTATGACTTTCATTTGATTCAATTAGCTTTGTTGAACGCATTTTACTTTCATTTGATTCAAAAAACATTGTTTAAATATCTATGACTTTCATGTGATTTAATATGCTTTGTTTGAATGTGTTTTACTTTCAGTTGATTTAATTAGCATTGTTGAATGCATTTGACCGTCATTTGATTCAAAAAGGTTTGTTTGAATATGTTTGACTTTCATTTGATTCAATTAGCTTTGTAGAATGCATTTGACTTTCATTTGATTCAATGAGCTTTGTTTAATGCATTTAACTTTCATTTGATTGAAATGGCTTTCTTTGAATGTATTTGACTTTCATTTAATTTAATTAGCTTTGTTGAATGCATTTGACTTTCATTTGATTCAAAAAGCTTTGTTTGAATGAGTTTGACTATCATTTGATGCAATTAGCTTTTTTGAATGTGTTTAACTTTCATTTGATTCAATTAGCTTTGTTGAATGCATTCGACTTTCATTTGATTCAAAAAGGTTTTTTGAATGTGTTTGACATTCATTTGAATAAATTAGCTTTGTTTAAATGTGTATGACTTTCATTTGTTTTTTTTTTTTTGGTAAATAAGAAATTTTATTACCAAAGAATAAAGAATACGACTTTGCAGATCACAAAGCTGTAACTCCCAAACTACACAAGCCTTGTAGGCAAACTAACACCGAAACAATCCCAAACTATAAACCGGCCACCTTCTAGGAAGGGTACCTGAAAACCGAGAGGGAAACGTACTGGACTCAGGTAACCAGGCACCTTCTAGGAAGGGTACTGAAAACAAGGTCTAGGACAAATCAAAAAAGAAACCGGCAAAAAAAAACCAACACAAACAAGACAGCTCAAAATCACACCATGTAAAACAAAGCAAAAGACAGCAGCACCCAGCACACCAAGACAGAACAATAGCAGCCAGGTAAGCAGGCCAAGCATAGCCAGCAACCCAAAAACTACAGCTACCAAAACCAGCACAGGAACTGCACTTGAGACTGCAACCAGAACCTAGGAGCCAGGAACAGCACAGCAGCTAGACACCAGAAACCAGAACGCCTGTAGACCAGACCCTAGCAGACCTGAACTCAGTAAAGCCAGAAATCAGCAGACCAAATCAAGAACCCATAACAGAGACCGCATCAAAACCTGCATTAGAGCAAAACCTGCTGCAGGACCTGCACAGAACAGAAACAGCAAGAACATAGACCATTTCTAACTTCACCTCCCAGCAACACAAGCCAAACCACCCAGACAGTCAACCAGGGATCTTGCATTTTAAGAGCTGTAACCGTTTACACTGATTTCTTGTCCAAGACATATCAATCAACTACTGGACTCTACTTAAAACCTCCACACAAATGGACTTACTTAGAATCAAGGGAAGGATCACTGATTTTTCCCAATAAGCATGGTTCCAAGCAAACCAGATATAGTAGACACATGCAGTAAACACAGCTAGGTAAACTTTCTTAAGAATCAGATCAGCCCCCTGCCTGTTCTAGTGCTTCCAAGAAGTATTCAGGCTAAAATTTCCCTCAATGAAAGCTAACCAGTGTGCAGCTTCTTTAAGACACTGCCTGCTATAAGAACAATCAAAAAATAAATGATCATGCGACTCAAGAGCATCTCCACAGAGAAGACAAAGAGGATCAGGGCTGCACCCAAAACCAATGAGCCTATCTTTTGTTTTCAACCTGTTTTGTGCTGCTAACCAGGCTGTGAAAGAGTGTTTTGGAACATTGAATCTATTCTAAACCTATTTACCCCAAGTGACCTTAGCTTGCAACCCCTGTAACCAAGAACAGCACTCAGAGATACTATACTTTTTGCTCATCCAGTTTCCAATCTCAAAACCTTGCTGAAGCTCATTCTTCACAGTACAAAGCTTCCTCCAACACCATCTATCACACTTCTTAGGGTTGTAGAACCACCAATCATGATCCTTCAAATAAATACTGTGAACCCATTTTACCCAAAGGGAATCCTCCTTCTTTGCAATTTTCCAGACATATTTCCCCAAAGCAGCCTTATTCCATCTACCACAATCTCTCACACCAAGCCCCCCAAACTTTTTTGGCTTACAAACCCAATCCCATGAAATATGAGGAGCCCCACCATGGTTAACAGACCCATTCCATAGAAAAGACCTACACAGCTGGGTGATTTTGTGAATAACCTCCTTACGTAGAAGGATACACTGAGCCCAATACGTGTGAATACTATTGAGGACATAATTGATGAGGGTGACCCTAGCAGCGTAGGACAAGTTCCTACTTGCCAACAGGTGATCCTGGCCATCATTTTGTCAATAATGCTATCAAAATCCAAACTTCTCATATACTTGGCATTTAGAGGAATACCGAGATATCTGAAAGGAAAATCACCTTCTAAAAAACCAGAGTCCCTCAGAATCTCCTCCTTCATGGCATTATCCATACTTCCAAAATAAACATCAGTCTTATCAGAGTTTGCAACCAACCCAAAGACTTTTTCAAAAGTCTTAAGAGCTCTAATAAGAAGAGAGAAGGACTTCTTATCCCCATGAGAGAAGAGCATAAGATCATCAGCAAAAACAAGATGTGTCAAGCCTAGATGCTTACAACCTTGGTGAAATTTGTAATCCCTTAGCCCACTCACCTTCCAAAGAAGCCTAGACAGGTATTCCATAACCAAAACAAACAGCAAAGGATAGATAGGATCTCCCTGTTTAATGCCCCTCTCCCCTTTAAAAATGTAGGGTTTCGTAGTGACCCGACACTACGCGGAAGGAAACCCACCAAGACCCGCCCCTTAATTAAAGCAATTAAACAAGCATAATAAACTTAATCAAACAAGATTAAGGACAAGAATTATACCTTTGACGCGTGCTTCGCTCCCAAAGAGCTCTTACTTCAAAATCCCGAAAAGACGAGATCTCCGAAGGATCGTACCCTCGACTCGACCCGAGCGTCCTAAGTCTTGAAGGTTAGTCAAGACCCGGACAAAATAACTATGAGTTTTACGAATCAAAGGTTTACTCTTTTCAAGAGTTGCCTTTTTAATTCTACTCAAAGTTGTATCAAATCCCAATACCAAGCTTGGTATTTATAGGGAAATGATCCCTTGATTTTTCATCCTCCACCAATGTGGGAGAATGTATTTTTGCTAATTAATTTATTTCTAAAATTAATAAACAAAACTAATCACAATGCAACAAGTGTCAAATAGAGAGAGAAGGTTAGGTGAGGACCATGAATGGGTGGGGGGGACCATTGCCTTGCTCCTCAAGGCCTTGCCTAAGCTTGGTCCCCACCCCTCACCTAAACCACCACCTACAAAGGGGTTGCTGGGCTGCTGCCAGATAGCACGCCAGCTAGCATGGTGCTGGCCAGCCCAGCCAGCTAGCATGGTGTTGCCTAGTAGCCTCGCATGCCTGGTGCTAGGCCATGCTAGGCTCTGGCGCAGGCCAGTGCTAGGCGCTGCTGCTGCTGGCTGCCTAGCACTGCCTATCGCACATGCATCTCTCTCTCGCATCGCATCGCTAGCACAACATCCATCGCCCAGCTAGCACTTGCTGGGCATCGCTGGCGCTGGCCTCGCATCCCACGCACTGGCTGGTCGCACATGCTTCGCATCACGCACCAGCCATTCGCCACGCACCACGCACATACTCGCGTTCCTCGCTGCACCTCACGCATTGCCAGCCCACACGCATCAATGCGCCTGTGGTGCGAGGCTGCTTGTGAGAGGCCTAGCATCACGCTGGCGCCCAGGCTCTCGCATGTGGTGCGATGCTTGGTGCTGCCATGCGAAGGCTAGCACACAAGCATCCACGCACATGGCGCGCCATTGCCAGGCAGCCAACCATGCTAGCACTTGGTGCTTGCGATGGTGCTGCCAAGCCAGACACGCACGTACGCAGCACCTAGTGCTTTCCATGGTGCGCCTGGTGCCTGCGATGGTGCTGCCATGCCAGGCACGCACGCACGCAGCACCAGGACCTGCGATGGTGCGCCTGGTGTGCCCATTGCTTGCGACAGGCGCCATATGCACCCAGACACCCACGCTAGCATGCTGCTAGCTGCGGTGGGCTGCCTGGTGCCTGTGTGGCTTGCGATGGCTACCATGCGCACCCAGGCACCCATGCTAGCATGCTGCTAGCTTACGATGGGCTGCCAGGGCGCGCCTAGGCTGCGATGGTGCGTAGTACACCATGGTGCGCCTAGCACACACATGGTGCGCCTAGGCTGGCTATGAGCTTGCCTAGCCTAGCTACGGCTACGCTCATACTTGTTGCTTGTGATTTTGCGACGCTCGGTCTCGACGCCCTAGGCTCGATTTCCGCCATCTGTATTCGTAAAACTCTATCGACTCAATAAATCCTTTCGGATTAATTCGACGTCTCGGATCGGAGATTCGATTGGGTTCGACCCGAAGGGTTCAGTTAAGATTAAGCTGTAATATCATCTGTACCTCGATATTACTGATCGGAAGCGGCCTCCACCTAGGCATTCCGATCACTTGACCTTACTGAAGAATTAGCTCTGTAATTATTCTGAACCCTTTATCAAAATAATACACTTGTTGGAAGGACACAATTCCTTTCAATCTCCCACTTGTCCTTCCGGACAAGTGTGCATATTGTGTATAGCTCATTTCCTTTGTCACTTAATGTTTCTTCGTGAACTGTAAGGTAAGATTCTTTGTCATCCTTATTACGTTCAGAAGTGTTTCTCGATCTCCGAGTTTGACTGTCAATAAGCAGATGATTTCTAAAATCCATCCGAGCATGGCCATGCATTTTTACAGTCTCACTCTTCGAGCGGCCTTTTAAACAAAAAAACATTTTCCCTATTGTTAGTAGGGGGGCAATCCCAGTCTTGTATTGTAAGTTCTTCTTACTAAGAGGACATAGACTCCCGAGTGTTCCCGTTATGATCCTTAGTTACGGCAGACGTTTGGAAACATCAAAGAGTCTAGTACTCAAACAAGAAAACTTCACAGTACTCATGGTCGGAGGAAATAAGTTCCGATAGTCATAATGAGAAATGTACTTATGACAAAATTTAAATTTTCTTAAATTACTCTCATAGGTCTTATCCAGTACAGTTCTAAAATGTACCTGTGCAAATGATTTATGACTGTCACGTCCTCGTAGCACAAGAAACGGTGATGTAAATCATACTACACACTAATCTATGGCGGTCATCAATCGTCCATCTGTTAGATGACCTCGATTAGGGATACTTTTTGATTTAATATTCAATGTTCACTTAACATGTGTTTCTTTATCCAAGACATGGTCTTGATACCTTGTTTTGAATATTTCCGTAAATCGAATGGACTCATTATTTAATTCTAAACCACAATTAAATAGTAATGGAGTGAATGATAATTTTGCACAAAAATTAATTACTCCATTAATGAATGGTTTTAGTACAGTGTCTTACATTAAATCAACCCGTTTAATTAAAACACATGTACAGGGAATATCAAAGCCAGTCACCTATGTGCTTGATTCCCATTGCCTCAACGTGTTAGTTGTGTTTCACTTGAGGCAAAGGTTTAGTCAAAGGATCGGCTACATTATCATCCGTGTCGATCTTACAAATTCTGATTTCACCTTTGGATTTCCATTCCCTTATCATGTGAAATCGCCTTTGCACGTGTTTGACCTTCTGGTGTTCTCTCGGATCCCTGCCCTGAGCGATAGCTCCATTATTATCACAATAGAGATCTATCGGCCCCTTGATTGAGGGTACAACACCAAGTTCACTGATGAACTTGCGAATCCAAACAGCTTCCTTGGCAGCTTCCGAAGCGGCCAAGTACTCGGCTTCAGTTATAGAGTCTGCAGTGGTGCTCTGCTTGGCACTCTTCCAGCTGAACGCTCCTCCATTTTAACAGAATATATACCCTGACTGTGACTTAAAGTCGTCTCTTTCAGTCTGGAAGCTAGCGTCGGTGTAACCTTCAACAACCACTTCTTTGTGGCCTCCATACACCAGGAATTTATCCTTGTTCCTTTTCAGGTACTTAAGGATGTTTTTGGCCGCAGTCCAATGCGCCTCTCCTGGATTCGATTGGTATCGACTCGTTGCACTCAGGGCATACGATACATCTAGCATTGTACATAACATGGCATACATGATCGATCCGATTAGCGAAGCATATGGGATCTGATTCATTCTTTCTCGCTCAACAGATGTCTGTGGACACTGTTTCTTGCTGAGAGTTATGCCATGGGACATGGGTAAATGCCCTCTTTTGGCATTTTCCATGTTGAATCGAGCCAGTACCTTATCAATGTAAGTACTCTTGCTTAATCCAATCATCCTCTTAGATCTATCCTTGTAGATCTTAATGCCCAATATGTACTGTGCCTCTCCTAAGTCTTTCATTGAAAAGCACTTTCCCAACCAGCTCTTTACGGACTCCAACAATTTTGTGCTATTTCCAATGAGCAGTATGTCATCGACATACAGGACTAGGAATGCAATATCACTCCCACTGACCTTCTTGTATACACAAGACTCATCTGGATTCTTGATATAACCGAACTTGCTGATGGCTTCATCAAATCGCAGATTCCAACTTCTGCTGGCTTGCTTTAATCCATAAATGGACTTCTTCAGCTTGCAAACCTTTCCAACGTTTCCTGGATTGGCAAAACCTTCTAGTTGTGTCATATACACAGTTTCTTCCAAAATCCCATTAAGGAAGGCGGTTTTGACATCCATTTGCCATATTTCATAATCGTAATATGCAGCAATCGCTAGGATGATCCGGACGGACTTTAGCATTGCAACTGGTGAAAAAGTTTCATCATAGTCAATCCCGTGGACTTGTCTATAACCTTTTACCACTAGTCTAGCTTTGTATATCGATACATTTCCATCTTTGTCTGTCTTCACTTTGAAGATCCATTTGCAACCAATGGGTGTATAACCCTCGGGAAAATTCACCAAGTCCCAGACTTGATTTTCAGACATGGAGTCCATCTCAGATTTCATGGCCTCTTGCCATTTTGCAGAATCGGGGCTCGTCATAGCTTGCTTGTATGTCGCCTGCTCATCACCATCCATAACTAGGATGTCCTGATCATCAGTTAAGACGATACCAAGGTATCTGTCTGGTTGAGATCTTTGCCGTTGCGACCTACGTATGGTAATCGGTTAAGCATTTACATTGTCTGTTTGACTCTGACCAATCTTCTCAGATGCTTCCAAAGTATCTAGATTGTCAGTTTTGTCAGGTTGACATTGTTGCTCGTCCTCTCGAACTTCGTCGAGTTCGATTTTCCTCCCACTTGTCATTTTGGAAAGGTGATCCTTCTCCAAAAAGACACCATCACGAGCAACAAACACTTTGTTCTCGGATTTATTGTAGAAGTAATACCCTTTGGTTTCTTTTCGATATCCCACAAAGAAACACTTATCCGATTTGGGGTGAAGTTTTTCCGAAATTAATCGCTTGACATATGCTTCGCATCCCCAAATTTTGAGAAAAGACAACCTGGGAGGTTTCTTAGTCCATAATTCGTATGGAGTCTTTTCAACAGCTTTTGATGGAGCTCTATTCAGTGTTAGTGCTGCTGTTTGTAGCGCATGTCCCTAGAACGAGATAGGGAGTTCACTAAGACCCATCATTGACTGAACCATGTCTAACAAGGTCCGATTCCTCCGTTCGGAAACTCCGTTCCATTGAGGAATTCCAGGAAGTGTCAATTCTGAAAGAATGCCACATTCTTTTAAGTGATCGTCGAATTCATGGCTCAAATATTCGCCACCTCGATCTGATCGAAGTGCTTTAATTTTCTTGCCAAGTTGATTTTCAACCTCTTTCTGAAATTCTTTGAACTTTTCAAAGGATTCAGATTTATTCGACATTAAGTAGATATAGCCATATCTACTATAATCGTCGGTGAAGGTGATGAAATATCGGTAACCTTGCCTTGCGGGTGTGCTCATAGGTCCACATACATCCGTGTGTATTAGACCTAATAAGTCACTTGCCCTTTCTCCCAGCTTGGAGAATGGTTGTTTGATCATCTTGCCTAATAAGCATCCTTCGCAATTTTCTAATGACTCTAAGTCAAATGAGTCAAGAGCACCTTCTTGAAGAAGTTTCTTGATGTGTTTGATGTTAATGTGGCCAAGACGAAAATGCCACAAGTAGGTTTGATTCGACTCGATGGTCTTAGCTTAGTGGTATCAACTTTTGTCTAATTATATGTAAAACATGCAATTTAATTGAACATAAATTTGTAAGACAAACATGAAACAGCTATTGTCAAAATTCTTACATTTGAAATTCCTAGGTGTCCAACACCATGGATATGTTCAAAGCATGATGAAAAACTAGAATTAGTTTAATTACATGTCATAGACAAAATGTTGCATGCAAGTACGACCGAAAAACCATCTTCGTCGTCTTTTGTCCGTGCACCAACACTTGATAAGCTTTTCACTTGGTCCCTGAAAAGGCAACATTAAGTGAGTCATACTCGGTATCCAATACCTTATGATAAGCTTAATCTACAATTTTTTGAGGAAGATACCTGGGGCGGATGCTCCATTCCTCTCCTCCTCCTCCCGAAAGAGCTTGCATTCTCTCTTGAAGTGGCCTTGCCCGCCACAGTAGAAGCAACGCATCTTAGCCTTAACCTTAAGATCCCTCCTTCTTGATGGTCTTTTGGTTTCCCCAAATGAGTTGGCCCGGTGCAGAAGCTCCACCACATTCTGTAAGGAATGTGTCTCCTTTGAATCAGAAATATATGCCCTTAATGCATCATATCCTGAGTGGAGTGAAGTGAGCAAAATATGACCAGCCATTCCATCTTCTAGTGGAATTCCGAGGAGTTCCATGTGCTTGAAGAGCTTAGTCATTCTTGCCACATGGGGTCGGAGGGGCATACCCGGTCTCAACTTAGTGTTGCAGACCGTAGACCAAAGATGGTACCTCTCTTTCGCAGGACAACCTTGATCTGACGACTTTACATTCATGTCCGTAAGTGACCTAGTCACTTCAAACAAGAGTCCATCATTGTTGTCGTTGAAACTCTTAGAGAATCTCACTCCGACAACATCCCTTAGTCCTCCAAGGAATAAGTCTGGGAAGGAGAATGTAAGTTTTTCTTTCAATTCTTCCGGGATGGAGTTAGCCATGAGTTGTGACACTAATTTGCAGTCTTTCGACCATGCACAATAAGTTTCGTCACTCAAGAGGGTCTTGGAACAGAGAGTTGGGAGGGAAGTATCCAGAACATACTCCTTGGAACAACTGCGGAGAGTTTTCCTGAGTTCTTCTTCCCATTCATCAAGGTTTGTTAAGTTAAGCTTGATAGCTAACTTATCGGGGAGTTCCGGGCACATTTGGTTGTTGTTTGAGTTACTTGTAGACATGATTTCTACAATTGAAAGAATTTGAAGTGAAAAACCATTCATACATCAATAAGTTGAAATTTAAAGCGTTCATGCACTTATTCACACTTATTGAACATTTTATCCACGTAATTTAAGATTGTCCCTTATGGGAGAGAATAAAATGATTCCGAGATCCCAAAGATCAAGAAATGGTCAAGCATGATTTGGCTTGTCTTAACCATTAAATATCTTAAGGTAAGCAATCCAATTGCTAATAGCTCCAAGCTATAGGAATCCGTGTTATCAAAGGATTTCCCGCGATTATTTCTAGTATGGAATGAGTCAATCATCCACTTTGGTATCTTATTGAACAAAAATGGTGATATTGTTCCTCCATTGATCAAGAATTTCGATTTTTGGAAAGTATCATGATCATCCAATAAGAAGGCTTTCCATTTTTTCAAATGAATGGTTTGAAGACCTATTGATTCTACCAACGGATTGTAGAGTTGATCATTCGGGCCTTTCAATTCATAA